CCATAAAATACTGTATATAATAACTGATATATTTAAAGTTCGATAAATTGTTCTATTAAAAGCATTACAGCTGCAGTAAATCATAGCTTAAATCATCAGTTAATCATTTGTTTACTTATCACCTGTGTGTATTCCTGGCACAGGTGCGGGAGATCATATAAGTTTTCTTTCTAAGCTCAATGCAGACTTGCGGGAACGGTTACATAAAAACTATTTGCACCATAGGAATCAAATGGTGACCATATGTTACTCCATGAGACTCAGGACTAGACACTGAATGGACCATAACCATGACCTTGTCCTAACTTTGACTAGAGCAACTTCCTCTGCAACAAATTAATATGTTACAAACATGCAAAAATCACAGATGAGTCACAGATAAATCTTTGTTGGCTTTTTAACTGTCAGTTGTAAAGCTACTCCTTTCAAAGAACATCATACAGTGTTTTCTGGTTGTACAGTTACACGTCAATACAAAAGCATTTTACTAAATGCATATGGACAAAAATGATCATAAAAGGAAATAAACATGGAAAACCAGTCAGAACAACCCTCCTCACGACATGCACAAATCTGCAATCTGCACATGTACACACTCAAAATGAGGAAATGACATCCAAATCCAAAACTTCTATAATCAAGTACTTATGTAGGAAATGTGGCCTCGCCAAGTGTGGACTGATGCAATTAGTCAGGCTACACAATTTTTCAATCATTCAGAAATTGACACAAATGGTCCTAAAATCAGTCCAAATGCTCAGATCAAAATCCCCGAAACCATATAAAATAAAATAAATTAAAAACTATATTGAAAACTTCACTTTAGAAATCACTGCAAAGCATGTCATCCTCATAACAAGGTGGTGAACAATATGTCTGTAAAAGAAAGAAAAAGAGCCTGTAGTATGCAGAAGTAGCAAAGTCTGCACATTTCGACGACAGCCAAACGGTGATGCCTGAATCGGTGCTGCAAAGATCATTCACATCATCACACATGAATGCAAATGGGCTCTATGGAACCACAAGAATCTCAAGTTTCCCTCCCTGTTTTAGTTATGCAAGGTCTGCAGCAATAAAGCAAAGATCTCACAGGTATTTTTATTTCACAATTTATCCAGCGTTACTGACATTCAGCATAAACAAATGTCTCTGTGGGTACTGTAAATGCACTGAAAGGAAATTGTCAGAATTCGGAACAGATAAAAATCTGTAATTCTTCTCAAACCATCAAAATAAGAGTTATTAACAATATTTGTTTGGGTGCATGTTGTCTGCACTAACTGACTGGTGCACTTCAAAATAAAAGCAACTAAAACTGAGATTTACAGTTTCATAAAAGTAACTCCCCCCCACCCCCCCACCCCCACCCAAAAAAAAAAGAAAGAAAGAAAGAAAGAAAAATCTTGCTACGGTGGATTTCCTCTGCATTTGATGATCCTATCATTTTTTCATGTCCAGGCTCTAATCTGTGAACATGAAGGAGTGCTATCTGACACATATTACCGCTGCATAGCAGTAACATACTGGGTCCCTGAACGTTTAGCCAGAAGTTCAACATAGCTACCATTGTTGGTTTTAAAGTGTTATGGGTTGGGTTTTATTACTTCTGTCAAAACATCAGAAGCTGTTGAGCCAGGCCAAGTTCATGACTGGGAGTCCATCTAATAAGAGGCCTTTAACACGAAGATCAATAGGATATCTTGCGATTAGTACATCATAGAAAGAGACAAAGACAGGCCGTGAGAGAGGAAAGCTGTCTGAAATTGTGCGAATCTTTCCAAACACAAAATCACAAAAGCAAGACTGTACAAAAATAAATAAATATTTTCTGATAGTGCAGAAGATTAAAATCGGTGTTGAAAATCGATAATCTGCGTGAATTCACTGACTTTCATTTCACCATATGTGATAAAGTACACGGTTCTTTTTTAATTACCTTTTTTAGCGCAGGGGAGGAAGAGAACAGCGCGTGCGTGCTTATGTATTGCTCCCACCTGTGTACTGAAAAAAACATACCTGAAAATAAATGTACGCCCACTCAACCGGAAGTCTTAATTGATCCAAAAAAAAACAACCACACACAATTTAACGCTACATGTGGACCCCTAAGAATACCACAATAAAACTGCCGCAAGGTGTTAAACATTTCAAACACAATCAGCCTTCTGTAGCGCGCACGGACACACACAAACACACACATACTCAAGCATAACTTCATCGTGAGTAACGCCAAAAGTAATTATATTGTCACTTTGCGTCTTTATTCTCAGCTAGATTGGCTGTATTGATTTTTTTTTTTAGTTTTTTAAGATAACAAGAGGCCAAGTCGCATATCAAATCCGTTCCGTTCGATAAAAGGAGATGTGGCGTTAAGGCTCGAGTGTCTCCATGGAGTCATTCACTGGTTAAGAAAGAAGTTCAATTAAATTAAATGAAAAATAAAGCTTAGAATAGACTGTTTAATATTTTTAATAAAAAATAAATAAATACAATAGACGTTGATCTCAAATTAAAAGTTGCACATTTTCAGCAAAATAATAAAAAAAAATCAAAAAATCAGAGGAACAGAAAGTAAAACCATTTTTTCCTTAAAAAAAAACAAAAACAAAAAAACACTCATTAACACTTTAATGTTGACGCAAAAGTATTATGTCAACACACCAGAACTAATGCATAGCTAGTTAGTGCATAGTTAGAGATCAATGCCACTTTGCATTAAAGCGCTCACATAGTCGTGTTAGGTGAAAAGTTTCTAATATCGTGGTCTTTAATGTGCAGCCGGTGTCCGCGAGAACAATAACATAATAATATAAAAATTATTAATAACAATAATAAAACGATAAAGCAGCTGCTGCATAATAGCCGTGGGCCTACAGCCTACTGTACTCAGCTACAAAAGAGAATGTTTTACCCGAGCGTCAAAAAAGGGGGGAACGCACTCCCCCCGTGTCGCATTCAAAAGTTGTGGGCCTGCACGATTTGAATGTTAAGGAAGAACATGATATTTTTCATGCCTTCTGTCTGCTCTGTTTTTCCAACCACTGCAACACAACAGATTGGAGGCCTGTGAGCTGCAGAGGCTCCCAGTGCTCCGATCTGAGTGCTACAAAGCCAGGTATTTGTGTTCATTAGCACCCGGATCAACAGACTATCAAGGCTGTTTAGAGATCAAGACCAAGTGCAATTACTGGCAATAGGCTGGTCCTCCACACGTTTAAGTATTTTCACAAGGCAGCCTAGTTTACGTTTTTTCCTTTAACCCATTTTCTTTGAAAAAAAAATAAACATTATGTATGTGTATTTCTTGCTTTGTTGTAAACTTGTACGGGAACTTTGTCCTCTCGTGTATGGCAACCGTGTGAAAGTGACACGATAACAACAAGAACACGATTGAAAAGTGGAGAGGGGGGAAATGTTAGTGTTTTTATTCTCGTTGTTTTTCCTTTGAAAGAAAGAGCGCTGAAACCCCCTCCCTGAAAATGAATTAAATAGCGCTAAAATAGAACAGATTTATTTGGGACGTGTCAAGTAAAGCTCTTTATTTAAAATAAATAAATAAATACATAAACATTTCGTGTCTGTTTCAAATGCTTGGCACGGAGTATTTGGTCTGAAATGACTTTGTTGAATAGCCTTAATTGCGTCTAATGCGAGGTCGAGGTTCACGCTGAATTAAAAGGGAGGGAGGCAAAGTTACAAAGTTTTCTGAAAGGGCCTGGAAACACGCAAATAAAGCAGGTCCAACATACGACAGCATA